CTTGCTGCAGAAGGACAAGAACAGGCTTCAGTATGGATTGAAGCTCTATATCAAGAAGACAAAGATTCTCACCACTGGGCCAATTGGCATTAGCCTGGTGAATACAGAGGAGATTGAGGTTAAGAGTTACAGCTTGCTCAGCTCCACAATAAACACGTATGGCACCAGTAATGAAGAAATCAAAGGATGAACTGCATTTGGTAAATCTGACATCGGGGACCTTTCCATAGCACTGAAAAGCAGCAATGTCTTTAAAGAGTCTAAGGCCTGCCTGATCCAGTCATGGTCTTTGCAATTCCTTGCTATTAAACATGACAGAAGCAGAATTGATGCCTTTAAGTTTTGGTGTTGGAGAAGAGTCTTTTACATACCATGGACCACCAAGAAAACAAATAGGTCTTTCTTAGAGAAGAAGAAACAAAGTTTCCCCTTGGTGGCTAGGATTTTGATCCTCTGCCTCACATATTTTGGGCATGTGATCAATTGAGAAATCCGTGGCAAAGGAAAGGTGGAAAGACAACACAGGTAAGGAAGAACCCAGGTGAGATGGATTGATATAGTAACTAGGACATTGGAGATAGGTGTGTTGGGGTCTATTAGACTGGCTCAAGACAAGACAAGCTTCAGAGGTGTTATACATAGGGTAGCCGTGAGTCACAGGCAACTTGACAGTACATAACAACAACGAGAACAAATTCCAATCATGGATGAAATGAAACGAAATTAGTTCTGTTTAGTGGCATAAGTCAATCAAAAAAGTATAATTATGAGAAAAGTTCACTTACCACCTCTCCCCCTTTCCAAGCATAGTGTCCCTCTCCACGGAATATCTTCTCCCAGCAACATGCCCAAGGGAACCCAGATGTCCTTGTGGCAATAGGCTGCCTTGCAACCCTGAAGGCAAGTGATTTGAGGCTTTCAGCTGCTCCGAGGGTGAAGGATGGACAATCTCCTCTCATGGAATTAACTGCCTGTGAAAATACGGCAGAGGATCAGCTATGAGTTAGTCAAAACTTGACAGCACACCACAACAACAAGCAACATGACAAAGTATGCAACACGACAGCAGTTTAAGAATTCTCAAATGTTAGAAGGTTGTGCTTAACCATGGGTATTGGGAAAAAGGTTAGGAGAACTTCAGGTAAAAAGGAGGGTGACAGAAGGCAACTTGATGAAGGTACGATAGTGACTGCGCCTGGATCAAGACCTAGTCACTAATGGTAAGGAACTGTGCTACCAATCCAGAGGTTGTTGTCGTTGTTGTTATGTGCCCTCTAGTTGCTTGTCACTCATAGCGACCCTATGTAAAACAGCCCTGTCCTGTCCTCTGCCAATCTCACTGTCTTTGACACTCCCATCCCAATTATCCCAGTCATTGAGTCAATCCAACTCATAGAGGGCCTTCTCGTCCTGTGCTGTCCCTCCACCCTCCCAAGCATGATGTCCTTCTCCAAAGACCGGTCTCTCCTTACAGTATGTCCAATGTATGTTAGATGGAGCCTCAGAATTCTTGACCCATGGAGCCACCCGGTTTAACCCTTTCCAGGACGAATCTGTTTGTTTTCCTAGCAGTCCATGGTATTCTCAATACTCTTCTCCAGCACCACAGCTCAAAGGCATCAATTCTCCTTCTATCCTTC